TATACTTCATTTATATCAAATATATAATGAAAGATGAAATAGCCGAACTGCTTAATCATAAAAGTTATTTTAAATTGAATTCTCTGAAATACCATAAACACCAAATTCTTTGAGCAGTTTAAATAATATAACAAAACCTAAATACTTATACCATTAATCATGTTGAAAATGTTAGCTGCTTCCGTATTCACTAACCCGATTCTGCAAATCATTTCATTTTTTAAAAATTATGTGCAGGAATTGCAAATCATGTTGTGACGCAATCTGAGAATAAAGATGCAGCATATTTGAAAGCAGTACAAATTGCTGAGGAAATATTACCAAATGGACCAATCGGTGTTAGGATGGCAAAACTAGCAGTGGATAAAGGATTACAGGTAAATATTGAATATAAAAATTCAAATATTATATATTTAATTCTTTTATGTGGTTTCAGGTTGATATGTCCACTGGATATACTATTGAGCAAACATGTTACGCTCAAGTAATTCCTACCCAAGACAGATTAGAAGGATTGAAAGCATTTGCTGAGAAAAGAAAACCGGTTTATAAAGGACATTAGTTTATCCATCATGCAAAAATGTACCTGCCATTCATGTAATTTAGCTAAGTTTTAATAAAATGTAAAATGTGTTATTTAACCAAGGCTATTTATGTTGAAAATTAGGACATCTATAATTTTTACATATTGTAATTTTTGAGCAGGATAAAAATTACAAATGAAAATTACTGATTCAAAATTATCTGGGATAAAATCTAAATTAATAGTTTGGTATAGTATAAATAATAAAGGTCCTGTGATAAATCAAAAGCATTTGTGTAATTTGATTGGCATCTAGTTGTTGCTCATAATTTCTTGAATATTGATTGAGTTTTCTGATAGGATTTTTTTGCTACAAAAATCAATGTGCTAACATTACATTTTCTATTCTTTTGGATCACCAGCGTAATTTCTTGACTTAAATTGAAATTAAATGAGTGAATGAATGCATGCACTTTATAAATTCTTGAAGTTGCAGCTTTGTGATTAAATACAAGAAACAGTTATTTTACAAACAGTCAATCGTTTCAACATGATGGATGATGTTGCTACAGGTTACAACAATAAGCCCAAAATTTCATAAAACCAAAAGATTTCATAATTTATTTTATTTAATATTTAATTCTTGAAGGTGTCAAGCATCATCCTTTCACTATTGCATATTCTCACCTTCAACTTCAATATGATATTTATATTAAATATGTTTCAATAATATCTTCCCTCCTGCGTGTGTCTGCTCTTTTAGAATGTTTTCCATTGGACGTAACAACTCTATTAAGTCTTGTTTAGTCTTTTCTTTAGAATTTTCAATTATTGAAAGTAAAATAAAGCATGCTCTATTTAAGCCTAACCAACGCTTAAGCTGAAAGTTATTAAGTAAATTATTTGTTGTTGGATCAAAATTATTTTACTAGGTATAATATACCTTAATTAAATAATACTTACAACTTTTTTCTTCAAAGAACCAACAATAGCTTCACCAAATGTTGGTTCTTCCTTTTCTATTTGTATTTTATCATGTTGTGCTAGCTTTTTCAAAACAAAGTGTAACCCTCCATGTTCAATTCCCAAAATTGTTTCTTCAGCTTGAGAGTCTACTTCAGCAGAATCAGTTTTGGCATTCTTTTGAGTCTTTACTTTAGTATTTGTTTCATTAGCAACTTTCCATTCTAAACTTGTGATAATAGCAGCTAAACTTTCTAATGCTATCCGCAATGACTCCCCAGAACCTATACATATTAAGATTAATAGAAAAATAATTTGTTTTTATTATTCATTAAGAACATACTTTTCACCTTGAAAGAAATAGTGATACTAATTTATCTAGAGTTTATCCAACAATATTCAGAATTCATGTTCAGAGTAATATTAGGAAAATAATTGAAAACTTATAAAATCAATGATGTTGATCACGAATTTAAATAGAAACTTAAAGAGTATTTGTTTGTGATGCATATAAAAAAGGCAAAGTAGTTTTTTTTACAATTAGCAAATTTGAGTAATTTTGAGGAACAATGGCCAAATGCATTAATATTACAGATAATTTTATTATACCTGCTTTTAAAACTGCTTTTGTAACTATAGCTACTGGTCCACTTTGCAGCCAATGTGAGCTATCTTTAGTGATAGCATTACACAAGGCATCCTTGCAATTGTCTAAAATTTCTTGTATTCTAGTTTCTGATGATTTTTTACAACTGCTCATTTTCATTCCCTCTTTCAAAGTATCTATCACAGAAGGATGAAAATAAGTTGTGTCCATCGGCGCAACTAACCATAACAAAATTTTTCTTCCCCATTCATTTTGATCAGATCAATAGCTTTAAAAACTAATTCATTCACCAGAATTTTGTTTAAAAGTACTGTATCATCCACACCACACAATATACCTAGGAGTAACATATGACCATGTTCATGTTCTGCTAGTTTTATTATGTGTTCTTTAATGCTTCTCAATATCACCTATAAAAATATTATTTGTTACTTTTATTTAGTTACATAATCATAATATGATTTGATGATTACCTTTTTGTCTTTGTTTGTAGCATACCACAAACATATCAAAGCACATTTTGTACCCTCTTTAGTACTGCAAATAGTAGCTATGGATGGGCATAATAAAGATATAAATTCTGTTCTATCTTCTTCAGAGCAAACACTCATAAATTCATACAAAACAACATGAAAAAGACTGGAAATAATAATATATTTAATAAGAAACCATTTTGTTTGTAAGTTTTCATTGTCTAAGTAAAATACTTACGCATTATCTAATAAATTTTTGTTAATTATCTTTAACAAATTTGCTTTAGTTGCACACAGCATAGCATTTTTCATATGTTCTGAGTTTTTATATGTATCGGTTAATGTAGATATTGATTCATCTTTATTCTGTAGAAAACAATGTAAAATGATTTTTATACCATTGAAAAAAGTAATGCTTATGAAATGACTAGCAATAAATACAAATACTTACATTTTTATAGATATCTCCATAAAATTCTTGTTTAAGTTTATTTTTTTGAACATTTGTAGCCCAAGTCACATAAGCAATATCAATTATGGAGCTACTTAAACTATGACTCGTCAATTTAACTACATTGCCATAAAATTTGTCTATAATTGCTCTTCGCATTTCCCCAGAACCATATTTAAACATTTTTTTTACACAAAAACGACCATAACTTGACTGCAACATCAGAACAACAGAATTGAGAAGATCCTGGAATAAAAAAATTTAAATTATACTTTCCTAATAATTCATTAGAAAGGTATATGACTAAATTAACCTGCATGATTTCATTTTTTATTTTAGTATTTGAATACTTTAGCATAACTTGCACCACTCTAGTCATATCATGTGCTAATACTAGTCTGGAGTATCTATTTTTATCACCTGTTGTACCTTTTAGCATGCTATGTAACTCTTCACACAATTTATTGCGTTCATCAACTCCACAAGTCTTACTGCAGAATATTGAAGAAAAAATTAACAAACATCATTACAAACATTTCTAACAGTCAGAAGAGAGAAAAAAATAAAATGCTTACATTCGCAATTTTTCACCTAATTTCTTTGCTTGAACAGAAAGTTCAAATAAATCTTCATTTTTTTTCTTTTTCCTGGTAAGACGTAATTGCTTCTTTTCTTTTTTGTATTTGGACCAATCCTCAGGTTTCTCGGTTTCCATTTTATTTTTTGGATTAAATGTTGTCTTACCTCCTACAGTCAATAATAAATAAAATTAAGAAATTGCAGGCTAAAATTTATAAAAATAAGATCAGATTGACAGAATTGCATCTGTCCAGAAAAAATTTGTTAATCATGTAAGATTCCGCAAATACAAGAACAATATTCAGAAAAGTCAGTCCCAAATGTACAACCATCTTAACATTACGCCACTCGATGCTAGAAAAAAATACCTCACATTTTGCTATGGAGCAAATCGAGCAAATATTGTGAAAGGTGCTTTAGATGTGCCTGAACTTCTCAAACACTTTAAATTTGTCGTACCAAACATTAAGCTATGTAATAACAGAACTTTGGAAATACCTATAGTTAAAACCAAATTTGTTTCACGCGCACTCATGTTCAGAATATCAAAAATAATAAATAAATTTGCTTATAAATAATCAAGTCAGAAAAATTATCCTTAAATGACTCTCTTAAGTAGTGATAAATAGTTTATTAAATGTTTAATTTTATTAGTTTTTATTTAATGTTATATATTTGTAGTTGATATTAAGTGTTATGTATATATATAAAGCTATCTATGAACTCTTAATACTCTAATTTTGTCACATATTATCTTTAGTTTATAATTTGTACACTTTAAAATGTAATTATATTGTCCTCGGACATTGAATAAATAAATAAATAAATAAGTATTATTTATACCTTTTTTAAACGTAGTTTTCTTGCTAAAGCCATTTTTATGAGGATTTTTTATTGTTTTCTTCGAATTCTTCAAATTCTTGTCATTATTTTGTTCATTTTTAGAATGCTCTGTAGTCTTCAATTTCTTGTTTTTATTTTGTGTGTTATCTTCTGAAGAACGTTTTTTAGATTTAATCATTTTGATTTATTGTACTTTAACTTAAATCGTTATATTGGAAAACAATAACTATAAAGAATAATAAGTTTTTCTTTAATATAAACACTTTATTTAAATTTATTTATTTAAAACACGTGCAGTTTAATTATAACCTATCAAAGTTTGTCAAAAAGATCATCTCTTGAGAAAAACGATATAATGTGCCTATTTCAGGCTGTCATATTATTAGTTGATTTCAATTTTTGCCGCAAGAGGCGCGCTAGGTGTTTGTTGATTTGACTTATTTTGACACTTGCTGCTTTTAGTATTTTTATAAATGTGAACTAGTGAAACATCTTGAAATTGTGTAAAGCCCGCTGTTTAGTTTGAATAATTCAACAGAAAATTGAAAAAATATCTAATTAATGGCAGATAATGCGGATGATATCGAATCTGGAGATGTCTCAGATCATACTGCTTCTGAGGAGGTACTAACGACAATTTTTATTATATTCAATTGAAACTGTCAGTTTCACCAGTACATTATGAAATTGAATGTACAGACGACAAATTTTTGAATTATTTTCATTGATATTTGCCAATTAGTTTTCCATGTATTGCGAATAACTTAAATTAAAAATGAATAATAATATCCTATCTGTATCAAGGAATTTAAAGTGAGCATTCAATTCTATATAAAAAATGATAATGTTTTGATCTTATTATGTTAATATTTATATTTGATTTAAACGTTTACACATGATGTGTGTATCCGTGTATCTCCACTAGATTTAGGTACTTATATTGCACATGCTCGAGTATTAAATTTGCTGGGCCTTTCATTGCTCTTTTGAGAATGATTTGGATATGTTGTGTGATATTGCTTTTAAATGGTTACATTCTGTGTTATGCTATTTTGTGTTTTTAATGTTATTATGTATTCTACTATATGTATAATAATTGTATTTCTAAGTCGTCTTGAAACTATTCTACGGGCCATCTGCGGGCTATGTGTTTAAAAAATAAATAAATTTGCACAGCATTACCACATACAATTACTCTGATCTATTGTAGATCAGAAAATATGACAATTTGAATAAAATGTGCAATCACAAAAACTTGTACAATTGTGTTATTGAAGTTTCTATTACTAGCTCTCATTAATGAACATTCTTTGACAGTACATTTATCAGGCCCATATTTTTGCACTAAAAATTATTAGGTACATTAGATAATTACAGCAGTCTCATGTATAATAAAGTTTAACTTCAGAAATTTTTGTTCAATTTTTAACATACTCGGTGCAAATAGAGTAGCATTAAGAATTTATGACAAACTAACTATGCCCCTAAATAAGGTCCCAGTTAATTTTAGATAATTATTTGCAATATTTTAATACTAATTAAAATAAATAAATTTAAAATTATATCATAATATACTCAATATGTTTTTAAATAATTTTTAACTTTAATTTCTATTATCCAACAATAACTTTATTATAAAATCTAAATGGGATGATAACATTTCCCGTGACACCTAGTCTGCAAATATTGTTCGGCATGATACTTATATACTAAAATTTAAAAATCGTTTTAATGAAATAATTGGACATGTATTTTAAATATACCATGGGTATATAAAAATTAGTTTTCGTGTTGAGCAATGTGAGATTTTCATATAACTTTGTTTTACCATCATATTTAAAATATTAAAAATAAGGAATCAGATTCATTGTTCAAGGCGATTATTATCAATTTCTTCAAGCATAATAAAACAATGTACTGATTTATACTCGTTCATTATGGTACCATCTTCAAATAAAAATCAAATAGACACACAAGAAAATTTAAAAAAAACTTGAATTTGCAATATCAATATCAAATTAACCAAATTGGTATTAATCATAATTAACATCATTTTTGTGGAACAGGAAGCAGTGGAACTAATACAAGAAAAACGTGATTTAGAACCAAGTTTATACGGAATTAAACCAGCACTCAAGGACAAGTTTAATATTCCAGCCATCAGAGAACTTATATTATCTATTCTTCACAGTACTCTGGATGGCCAAATTTATTTGCCACATACTGCCAAAACAATTACAATAGATCTTGCTAATGCAATAAATAATTCCATTAAAGGTTTGCAGCAGAGCCGTTATAAGCATATAGTACAGGTAAGCATTATAAATTTTAGGGATATAACATTGTTGAACATGTTTGGTAATTTATGATGCCATATTCATTTCACCTGTTCGAAATCGCCTTTCCCGATTTTTAAATAATCGAATAGATCAGGCAGGCTCGATTTATGCTTTTTTTTGAGAAGATTTCAACACTTTATGATTGATCTGTTAATCACATAGTCTACTTACTACTTAATTAGAAAGCTGATATAGAAATATTACAAATTTAGGCGCTCTTCATCGTTACCTAGAGAATATTTTTTGAATCATAAATTGACTGGAATTAATGTCTGATTAAAACTAAATAATTTTTGTCAAGATATAACAGAAATTTTGAAAAAAATATACGTCTTGATCACATTTAAAAAAATAAGTAGTTAACATAAGTTGCAAAAGTATGCTAATTTTCAATATAATGATGTTTATTTTCTGTGAGATCTATTTAATTTTTACAGGTGGTTTTAGGCGAACAGAAAGGGGCAGGAGTGAAAACAGCCATGCGAAGTTTGTGGGATATTGAATGTGATACATATGTATCAGAAGAATATAAAAATCCATCATTATTTTGTTTAGTAGCTGTTTTTGGTATTTATTTCTACTGAATATATAAAAAAATAGATAGACACCATCACATTGATGATGCTTTTTGTAGGGAATTGTTTATTTTTACTACAATTGTTTAATTGAATGCCTGTTCTGATATTTACTTGTTGTAAAGCTCTACTTTTGTAGTGTAGTTCGATTGTTAAAATTCTCTGAAAGTTGAAATTTCATTTGATAAAGATTGTTGCAACTGTATCTTCATTGTCTTAATTTTTAAATATCAAAAATTACATAATATATGTTACTTTATATTAATGTCAACTAGTCCTATATAAAATTTATACTGTGAATCATAAATAACAGTCATAGATGTAAGTTTTTTTCCACCTTCTCAAAATATTTTGAGTGGCATTGTTTTGATATTATTTTGAATCCAGTGATTCATTTCTCTGTTGTTAATAATAATAAATCCATTTACTTTATTTTAAAAATGTCAGGCCAATTTTATATTTTTAAATGTGATTGAATAATATAAGTAATATAAAAAATAGTCATTTTAATTAGTATTGCAATTCTTAGATTTCTCAGAAATTTGTTTATTCTACAGAAGTATGAGTTGGAAATTGAGTTGATAAAATTTCTAGGTATAAAACATTTTACCAGCCTGTTCCGTAATCAATCCAAGATACTTTGGAGTTGAGAGTAATAAAAGTGCTTATATATAGCTACATATATAATATATGTAGATTATCAAAAGCAAAGATAGAGATATAACATGCAGATTTGAGTTGGAATATATATAACATAACAATGTTATTTTTGTGATAATGCTATAATTAATTACAATCTACTAATTAAAGAACAAGATTCTTACCATAATTGATCTTACGAGCCAGAAGCAGGGTAATTGAGCTTAATAATATACAGCTTTACTGTATCAGAAAGAGTCTTTAAGTTATGTATGCAAAATGTTCTGCAACAAATCAAATTCTGGATTATAATTTACTTTTTAACAAAGTTTAAATTCAAATTATTGTTTATTTGTAGCAAATATTGCTTACAGGATATAACATATAATATAAAATTTTTTATTAAATATTTTCACTACATAGACTATAAAAAAATATTTAAACAAATATTTCTCTCTCTCTATGTATATTTTATATTATTGTCCTTTGGTATCAATTTATCTAAAAATTCTGAATGGCTTTGTAATAACTCTGTAATTGTTTCTTCAGGCTTGTTCGTTTCTGTATCATATTCAGGGCCAACAGACCACAGCATATCAATATCATATTTCTGTCGTACTTTTTTCAAAAATAAATGAACAGCTATATTACCTAAATCCAGGGCAATCCATTCTTTAGAATTAGCTCCCTCGATCTTTGGTATTGGATCATCCTTCGATCTTTTCTTTTTATAAATCTTTCTAATAAACTCTGCAATACCCAACATATGCTTTGTATTTCTGCATGTAACAGAGCACATGTAATCTATGTATTTCATTGATTTTGGTACTGCTATAACACATAAATCTTGTCCCTTATTTAGTCTAATAACTTCTACTAATTCGTCTATATCGAATACTCCAGATACTCCTCTTTTAAGAACATTGTTTGTAATGTCATGTAATTCTTTGTCGTCTTCATGCTCTTCCATTTCTTTTCTTCTACGTTCCTCTTCAATATCAAAAATTTGTGGAGAGATTTTGTCTTCGAATTTTTCATATTTAAGTTCCTTGGAAATATTATAATCGGAACTTCGGGAACAAAATTGTTTATAATTTACTTGCGCAAAATTTATGTCATTGCTCAATTTCGATAGAAAATTGTTTTTCAGTTGTATTTTCTGCGCACAATAGTATAGAAAGCGATACATTATTATTAGGTTATAACATTTAAAAAATATTTAATTATGTTTTTATGCGCAGGAAGGAAATAGATCAATCAAAGTATATCACTATTTATTGCAAAATAAGAAGGTAATAATATTTAATTGATTTAATTAATTAAGCAATATGAAATAAATATTTTTTTCATATTATGAATTGATAACCCCAAAATACTATTCTTGTCAGTTTGACAGTTAGGTTAGCGCTGGCTGCCAATTTTAAAGAAATAAACAGTTCTTTCCGCCTTAAATTGGTAACCATTGTCTCGGATATCGACATTTTGTTCCGGATTTTTTTAAAAAGCAATATTAATCCCGGATTCAGTTTTTTCCGGGTTATCTTATCTATGAAAATACGCGACATGAAATATGTTCACTAAAAGCGGCGATATTTATATTTTATTTTGAAGATAAATAAATATAATAAATAATATAGACTTATCTTATTAAAAACTAGTGGGGTGTATGGCATCGTGCCTTAAGGCAAATTGCTGGAACTTCCCGTACCAAAAATTATTATTTTTTTAAAACGATTAACATTTTTGAAAAAAAAATATTTCGAAAAAATTAGATTTTTGAGAAACTATAAATTCTACAAAAAATTACTTTTTTTGGAAAAAAAAATTGTTTGAAAAAAAAAAGTTTTCTTTATTTTGGCATAGTTTGAAAATTCTGAACTTTTTTTCAAAGCAATCGCACTGCTTTAACTGCATAGAGATGAAATGTCAAAGCGCGTAAGCGCCGCGTCGCCGTCTAACGGATAAACATTGGTACGAAACCCATAAATTCATACTTATTGTTAAAATCCCTATAAAATATCTGATAATTTGATGTGCATATGTCTAATGATCATTTTTGACCGCCAAATGGCTTTTTTTTTATTTTTTTACTAGATCTCCGAAACCGCTAGACCTGCCTTTATGAAAATTTGATCAATTCTTCATCTTGTCAATACAAGTAAAATGTTTTCTGAATTTCTAAAATCGGATACTCCGTTCTCTTAAAAACCGTGTTGCCGTTTTTGGCACTTTTTGCCCCGTATCTTTGGAACGGCTAGACCTGCCTCCACCAAAAACTAATCAGCACGTCTCCTCATCAGTACAAATAGAATGTTTTTTGAATTATTTAAATCGATTGATAGGTGTTCCCGAAATCGTCGACGAAAATTTGTATCCGCACACACACACGCACACACACACACACGCACACACATACACGTATTTAGGTGGGACACACACACATACATCCATTTTTTCTAAGGCATGCCAAAATATTCAGAAACCTTTGAAACGTCGAGATATGCAAAAATTTTTATTTTTGTTTTTTTGCGATTACTATAACTTACCCTACGGGAAGTTAAAAATATAAAAAATTATATTCATTGTATAAGTAAATCTGACCGAAAAAATATTTACTAAATAGAACTGTTTATTTATGTTCTTATAAGGATACCTATACACTGATTGTTATTATATAAGTTTTTTTAAATAAATATTTTTTTAATCAGACGTTTATAAGGATATAATAACAACCTGCTTTTTTTGTTTCAATAATTTTTTTAATCTAAATTACTTAAAATTAGTTCAATTATTTTTTAGCTATGGTCTTTTTTGCTCTTGTATTATATTTTGTACATTTCCCACACAACAAAAGGGTTGAACTAACTTATATTTTGGTCAACTCTTCGAATAAAACCTCTGAGCCCTCGGGCCATCCTCGGGTCATTTTCGGGTCAACCCAGTAGGCATAGTATGGATGCTCGAGTTCGATCGTGGGTCTAAATGCGGCATTTGAGTTGAGAATAGTTTGATCGTTCTTTTTTTATGCATAAAGCATGTTCATCCTTTGAGAACATATATGCGTTTCGCAGAAATCATCAAATTGGCCGAAGAACTCACATACGTTTGACGAAGGCAGTTGTTAGAGGCGAGGAACGCATATGTGTCCCACCTAAATACATGTCGATAGCCGTGGAACTCAATGTTAGTAAACTAAACTGATGAATAGTTATTAAACAAATAAACATTTTGTTTATCATGTGGAAACTTTGTGTATATAAATATAAAATATTTATTTGAGTTGGAGTGCTATAATTTGAGTTAGAGTGCTTGAAATATGCGTTGGCAATTTTAAATGACTATCGGGCAGGAGTTCAGCCGCATGGTATACGGTTCACTTCAAACCGTCTCGTCCCCAAAGAGGGTTAAGTTCACAAATCACATAATATAAAGAAATATGGTCACATTGGGTCACTGTATGTATAGTTTGGAAAACGGGTAAAAATTCCCGTCCCGCAGAATGCGTGATAATTTTATATTTTTGTTCTTTGAGCCTATATTTGTTATATCGACAACTCTTTTGCTATTAGACAAATGGCTCTCGGTTTATATGCAATTTGTAAAAACATATCCCCCAAATATTGAACATACAAACATTTATAATAATATTAAAATAAATGCTTTTGACAACAATAACTTTATTATACTAAGAAGTACAGCGTAGAACAACAGTCACGTATATTTTTGATTGTATTACGGCATTATGCGCATGTGGTTTCACAATGATATTGAAAAAATGAAATATAAATTTATAGAAAATATAGTTCTTTTTGACTTCATAACACATTAACAAAAATCAACAGTAGGAATAGGTGAACTTTTAATTTTCACGAGTGCAAATTATAACAATTGCAAATGATTTTCCAAGTTAAATTCATTTAAATGTAAATATGAAAACACAGCGCCTTATATTATTATTATCATTATTATGTTCATCAGTGATGTAGTCTTATTATTAGATTTAGACTATATGGTCAATTTTGCTTTTATCAGCAAGTAAAACTTGTAACATCATAATATTACAAATCGCTTAAAGCTAAAACAGAATTTACATATATGTATTTATGTATAAATGTTTATTATTGTGATTGATTGTAATCTGTTCAATGTTATACTATTATATCACAGAAATTCTACACATAACTTGAGTAAAATAACTCGAAATTTATTTTATTTTTGTCAGCTAAATATCAGTCGATTGGAATTATTTATCTACATATTCACATTTTTTTGTTTTATTTTATTTCTGTATCTATATATGTAGACAAACACTCACTCACATATATATCTAATAAGATCACAATTAAATTTTCTTTCAACATTAGAAGAGAATTTTATAGTAATGTTTAAA